AACTGCAATAAATGGTAGATTATCCTTTAGAGCAATCATTGCCGTTGCATACTATTTCATCCTCATAAACTGTAATGTATTCAACATCTACGACTACGTCGAGTTTTTAAACACTTCTTTACAAATTAATCTTCTCCTATACATGCTCAGTGCATCTATCGTTGACTATAGAGCTCAAAACATACCTGTTGAATATGAGAAGAGCTTTCAACTGATAGTGAGAAGTTTCCGGTTTTCCCGTTGCTTATGCATGTTAGGCTGAGTTGATTCCCGTATCCGATTGACTGCAAAAGAAACAGTGATTAAATGGATAAGACTTAATAAACAAGAGAGCAGCACAACTCACCTCACAATACGCTTCCTCTTGTGACTTGCAGCTCCATGATGAGGTCGGGACACAACTCGGATAATGACACCAAGAACAATGATCATTCAAATTAATCCCTTGAAGTAGCATGATTATGCCGGCTGTGAATCTGAAAAAAAGGGAAAAAGAGAGATCACGATGCCTAATAATACCAAACTCACATTAACTCGTAACTGGCAACAATTAATAGTCTTCCCCAGGGGACTGTTTGTCAACAGATGTATATTAAAGAACCACAGGTGTAAATCTATAGTTTCTGAGAAAAATCGTTTAAAAATCATGCATGCAAATTTTCAAGGCAATAGTCTAATAAGATCATGAAGAGTGATTAATATTTTTATATGCAAAGTTTCTTGAATTGAGGGAAAGGATTCCACAAACTTACCCGGCAATCAAGAGCATCAGAGAGATGAGCCAGAGGACATATTGGTATGGCTTGTGTTTAGGTTTACTAGAAGCCACAATGTGTCCAGAAGGAACATGTTTCTTGCTAACATATCCAAACTGGGGACGGATTAGAAACACAAATCCAAGGAGAAACCCAGAAAGAAATCCACCAATATGAGCAAAGTTATCCACATGTGGGAGGAGTCCCATAGCTAGATTTATTACAATAATGAAAATAAGAGACAGCAGTGCTGCTAACTGCAGAAAGAAAACCAAAACTCTAAGATAATTGTCTCCCATATGAAACAGATTAAAAAGAAAGAAATAACAGAGGGAACCTTACATGCCTTATTTGTGTAGATTGTCCAGTTTGTGATGAATTACGAAAGCATGCTACCTAGTAAACCAAAAAGTGCACCCGAGGAACCAACGGATATGCCGGTTTGAATGAAAAGAGATGACATCAAACTCCCACCAAAACCAGCAATTAGATAAAGCAACCCGATTCTCACTGCGGAAAGATAGCAAAGAAAAATTAGGCTTAAATACCTTTCAACTAGTAAAGTAACTTTTCGGCAGGTAGCATGGAGGTTCGCCAATCCTTATCTACCTATTATCCTAGAACAGTGTTGATTTCGGAAAATAAAAAGAAAGGACGCTTAGAAAGAATCACACATTGGAAAGCATACATATTCCTACTGAAGGTCAAAAAGCATTGAGAAAGGCCTGTCAGAAGGACATTTCTAGCCATTATGAACAAATCAAACACCAGTGAACTGCAATCAATAGTTCTTGGTCAAGCATCTCAAAATCCAAACTCATGGAAAACACATACTTAACCACTAGCGAGGGATTTGACCTTTAACAACGTGCAGAAAGTTCTTTCAATCACTAGGCACTAGCTTAGACTGCATTGTGTGTATTTGTCATCTACGTTTCTTTGTTCTCATCCTTCATTTCTAAAATTTTGCATTGTGAGTTGTGACCCCACGGGAACTAACAACAGTTACAAGCCAAAACAGGTATTTAGTCGACACCAGAATGTCGAATTGAATTTGCCATGGTTGTATTTATCGCAAAGGTAATTAACTCAATGCAGAAGATAAGAAAAAAAAGGATAATAAAGCCATGTAATGTAATATTTTGGAAGACCTAATACGACATGTGGTTATAAGAAAAATGAATTGAAATATATGACCAGTTTAGTGTGTTCTAGGAAAGTAGTTAGTCATAGAAACCACAAAGACACATCTCGGATTTGCAAAAACAATGATTATTAGCAATTGAAACAATAAATGCTACATCATGGACTGAACAGTTAGTTCAGAAAATATAATAAAGCTTGATGTCATCAACACAACATAGTTTCAGTTGGGAATAAGACGCATACCGAACCCAAATTCCTGCTCGAGCCGAATTCCAATGAATACGAGACTCAACATATTGGCAAGTATGTGGAAAACGCCAGCATGCAACCATATACAAGAAATCATACGCCACGCCTGATGTTCATGAACGATTTTGGTTACGTCCAGGGCACCCATTTCTCTAATCTGAAGAATGAAAACAGAAAAGAGCATATTAGGACATGTCAACAATGAGCTTGTACTAGCAACCCTATATATAATCTTCCCAGAGATCACCCAAAACAAATTTATTATATATTCTTCCAAGACCATATCCGAAGCAGAAAATTGTAAAAACTAATCATAAATTTCTTTTTAAAAGTAAATTATAATTATCATGATTGACCATAGATTTCTCATATTGATCTATACAAAATCAAAAATCCAGCTCTACCTATTTTAGAATTGACTGAGAAATTATGGCAGTCCCAAGAATCCAAATTCTTTACTTATTACAGTTTTCCCCCAAAATCATTTTCTAGATGCTAAACCAATCCTCATTTCAGCACAATAAATGTAAAAAAAAAAATCCCACCGTAAGAACATGATTTTCATCTGGTTTGAGAGAGAGAGAGAGACTTACGTAGAAGCAGAAGGGCCAAGGAGAGAGTTCTCTTTCATTGGCTGGAAAGAGAACCTTCCCAGGAACCGAGACACACAAGAACCGGAGTTCTTGGGGCAATTGTTAACAAACATGGAGATTAGAAAAAGGACTACGTTTGCCAAAACAAAGGCCGGAATAAGCCAAGGCACCCAATTTTTAAACGGCATGAAATTCATCGACCGTCGTCCTTGGTGTCCTCTCCGGCGGCTGTGACCCTGGCCCTCCTCCAGCAGCAGCCGCACATGGCCATCATGTGAAGGCGATGACACGGATGGTTGGGGCTCTGATGCCGCCGCCGGTTGCACCGCATTGTCTCCTTTCTTAGGATTCGTCGCCTTGATTTCTATCCTAGAATCCATCCCCACTTCAAAACAAACACACGTACGGGGGGTTTTGTTTGACACTATTTTGAGATTCTTGCGTTTGGTTTTAGTTAAAGGATGAACCAGAGACAAAGCAAAAGCAAACAAACATAACGGGACTTCCCAATGTGTTGTTTAGTATTTAGGTAAACCAAATCTAATATCACTTAATTATGATTTTTATTATAAATATGTTATTTTAAATAAAGTTTAAATTTACTTTTAAAGTAGAATAAAGTGATTTTTGTGGTAAAAGAATTATTGATATTTTTTTAAGCTTCGGACTCAGCATCGTAAATGTCAAGGGTATGAGCGCTGAGCATTCAATATCAAAATCAAAAAGCTTAAAAGTTATATTTGAATAGATATTATAAAATTTATTTTTAAAAAAAATTTATAATTTATCTTATCAATATGATAATAATATTAAATTTGAATTGAGATAATTGCGTCCCGTATATATATATATATAATTAATAACTAAAATTTTAAATAAACATTATTTTATAATTACTATAAATTATTTAATATATATACGATAATAATAGAGATGAATGATAATTAAAATAGAAAATAGACCAAGTCCAAAGGATTGGAAGTTGTTAACCAAATAGGGCCTTGTACCTAACCCGACCTTAGCAATTTTTGATGTAAACAAAGACCCAACCCAATACATCATAGTTTAGACCCCAATTTTTGATAGAATATTATATTGGTTATTTTTTAAAAAAAATTGGCCCATTCAATCCCCAAGTCCAACCCACAGTTTAATTGTTAGGTTTATAACACCAACATGAAAAAAAAAAGAATTAAAGAAAAATGATACATGAACAACCAAACGATTTCAGTAGTTAAGAGATAGTTGCTATGTGAGTTTGAATACGATGTCTATAAGGGTGTCTGAACGTTCAGTGTCAAATGGTTGAGATTCTTTCGAATAATTATTACCTTATAATAAATACTATAATTAAGTCAAGACTCTAGACTTATCTTAAACACATTTAAGATTCGTTTCAAAACTAATCGACCCAAAATACTTATTTTTACTAATTAAAACACATTTAAGATAGTTGTATTAATGATTTTGCAGGTTCAAATTGATAATCTCTAAGTGGTTCGGCTACTAAATGACTCCAATGCTGATGATGATTTATTTCCCCTGGTGCGTGCCATTTCACTGCTTCAAACCGGAATTAGTCTATGTTTCTTTGGGTTCCTCGTGAAGGGAACATGGTAGCAGATGGGTTGGCCAAGCTCATTCTTCCTCGACACTACTTGATGCATTCGTTTGCAACTGCTCGAGAGGACACTGCCCCATAGCTACGAGGGACATCTTAGGCTCTCTTTATGTCAGGTTATGTAAATTCTAGACTCACGCCTACTTTTCATTTAAAAAAATATAATTATGCCAGATAAAAAAAACTTTATAAGAAGAGAGAAATTTATTGAATAAAAGAAATGAAATCGTAAACCTATAAAATAAATGAAAGATATGATCAAATATACCGATCTCATTCGGTGAGGAATCAGCCCTCAAATTTTCTTTCCTTGAAGTTAATTCACAGTGACTGAGAATAAGCTAACCGATTCTCCTATTTGCCGGCAAAGGCGCATTTATATATATAGAAAATTTCCTTTAATAACATATAATTCAACGCACCCAAAAATCTTGAATGGTTCAAACATCTTTCCATTTTCCCCAAGCCTCAAAATTCCTTCATTTCTTCCCAAGCAAATCCCTTTAATGACTTTCCTGATTCTTTCATCCCTTTTTTTTTGTTCTGTAATACAATCTGCTCGTTGATTTCTATATATACATACACATGTATATGATATATGAATAAAATAAGATTTGCATTAATCATATTATTAGTATGAGCAGTGAAACGTTAATGGAGAAACCAACCAGTGGGAAATGTCGATGCAGAACCCAATCCTGGTACACTGTTTTCATCTCTTTCCTTTTATGGTTCACGCTCTACGTGATTTATTTGTATTCTTCGTCTGTGACGTTTAGCAAGAGGGAATATAGTTTAACTGTCAACAATGATACGGCTATTTTAGATTCATCCGAGTCTTTTCGCGGTGCTCTTAGAGATCACGAAACTGAGGATTTTTCTCGTGTTGGTGGTATTAATCTCGAAGATATTGTTGATGATGAGGATGAAACAGATTCTGAAACAGAGGAAAAACCTGTCGAGGAGTTGTCTGAGGATGATGAAGTTTATCAGGCGATTCAGTCGTTGTTGACTGAAGAACAAAATGAAACTGAACCCGTTGAGACCGAGACGAATTCCGGTAATGAAAACGAGGATGTGGCTGGTAGTAAAGGGGTTAAAAACATGGATGAAGATGATAGAACGGCGAAGGACAAAAGAAAGGAAAATCATGCGACCGAACAGAAGAAAGGGACAGCAAATGTTGCGAAACGAAAAAGGGAAGACAATGCCGAGGATCGGGAGAAAGGGAAGGAAGATCGTGTGGCAAAACGGGAAGGGGCTGCAAATCATTTAGAAAGACATATGGGAGAGAATGTTGAAGATCGAGCAGCTAAAGGAAAAGCGGCTGCAAATGTTTTGGAACAGCACATGGAAGACAATGCTGAGGATCGAGAGAAGAGGAATGAGGCAAGATTAAAAGAGACTGCAAATGTTTCAGAACGGCAGAAGGGAGAGAATGTCGAACATCGAGCGGCTAAAGGGAAAGGGACTGCAAATGTTTTGGAACAGCACATGGAAGACAATGCTGAAGATCGAGAGAAAAGGAATGGGGCAGGACGAAAAGAGACTGCAAATGATTCGGAACAGCAGAAGGGGGAGAATGTCGAACATCGAGTGGCTAAAGGAAACGGGACTGCAAATGTTCTGAAACTGCACATGGAAGACAATGCTGAGGGTCAAGAGAAAAGGAACGAGGCAAAACGAAAAGAGGCTGCAAATGTTGAAACACTACCGGTTATTAAGAATCGAAACGAGAGGACAGGGCACCCGAGGAGAGAAACCAGGAATAAACCTGGGGATTCATCTGATCATGTCATGGAGAAAAGGAACGAGAAAGCTGTTGTGTTGCTGAGAAGACCACGAGCTCGGTCGGATCCATGTTCAGGACGGTATATCTACATTCATAACCTTCCCAGGAAATTTAACCAAGATTTACTTGAAACTTGCCGGTCGCTTAGTTTCTGGACAGATATGTGCGAATGTGCATCAAATCTTGGTCTAGGTGCCCCTCTTCCTAGGGATGACAAACTTTATTCAGGAACAGGCTGGTTTAATACAAACCAGTTTTTGTTGGAAGTCATTTTCCATAACAAGATGAAGCAGTACAGGTGCTTAACTAAAGATCCATCGGTTGCTTCAGCGATCTATGTTCCGTATTATGCTGGCCTCGATGTTGGTCGTTACCTTTGGGATCCTGATGGGTTTATGAGAGACTATGATGCAGTTAATCTTGTCAAGTGGCTTGCATCTAGACCTGAATGGAAAAGAATGTGGGGTAGAGATCATTTCCTGGTTGCAGGAAGGATTAATTGGGATTTCAGGAGAGACCCCAGAAACGAATCTGATTGGGGCAATGAGCTTCTGAATTTTGATGAATCGAGGAACATGACATCGTTGGTACTCGAGTCATGTCCATGGAACTACAACGACTTTGCTATTCCTTATCCGACGTATTTCCATCCTTCAAGAGACAGTGAAGTGTTTCAATGGCAGGACAGGATGAGAAGACTGAAAAGACGATTCTTGTTCTCTTTTGCGGGTGCACGGAGACCTGGTCGCCATGAATCTATCCGCAACGAACTCATCGATCAATGTCTCGCTACTAGAAAGAGATGCAGGTTCCTAGAATGTGATAAAACACAGAAGTGCCACAAACCAGCATACTTGTTGAAATTATTTCAAAGTTCCATCTTCTGTTTACAACCTTCAGGGGATTCCTACACCAGGAGATCGATATTCGATTCAATTGTAGCTGGTTGTATCCCAGTTTTCTTCCATCCAGGTTCTGCTTACGTTCAGTATATATGGCATTTCCCCAAGGATTACAGGAAATACTCGGTGTTTATACCGGAAAGAGATGTTAAGTCCGGGAAAGCCAACATCGAAAGAATATTGCAAAGAGTTTCTAGAGAAAAAAGAGCAGCAATGAGGGATGAAGTCATAAACATGATTCCATCGGTGATATATGCAAACCCATCATCAAGATTGAGGAAAACTGAAGATGCATTTGATCTAACAGTTAAGGGTGTTCTTGACAGAATTGAGACAGTGAGGAATCAAATGAACGAGGGGAAAATAGTGAATTATGAATTTGATGAAGAGGAGTCTTGGAAGTATTTTGCATTTGGGAAACTTGGGCCCCATGAATGGGATATTTACTTCTCCAGAAAAAGTGGACAACATGGACCATAACTTTGATACAAATTTCCTTTTAAAAAAAAAAAAAAGTTGAAGGATGAATATCGAGTATGAAGAAGTATTAGCAAATGAAACTAGAAGAAGAAACATAAGGGTAATTTTTTTTAAAATTATTGTAATTGTAGTAGTACCATTTTAGATTATGTGCTTATTGGAGATAATTATGGTCTATGGACTCCAAAAAGTCTTTCTCCTTCCACTGATTAGAGATTTGAAAGTTACATATCATTAAAGCTTGTTTAATGAGGTAGAAAGTACATGGTATTGTGACCAAGAGGAACTCTTACAAGGTAAAATCGTTTGAATTCGGAGTTTAGCTCAATTGATTCATACAAGCTTTCTCAAACGGCCATGAAAATAATAAGAATCTTCCAGAAACGGTGGGAATTGCATGTCCAGCTCAGTTGATAGAGCATAAGGCTTTTAACCTTATGGTCGTGGGATCGAGTCCTATGGTGGGCAATTCATAATTCGGACATTATACAAATTTGCCCAAGTTTCACGCACTATCAAAGAGTTCATCAGCAACACATAATTTGAAGCAAAAAAAGCGTTTTAATTTAACATCAGATCCTTTGTACCCCAACCTGCTACATTCTGTAGCTACTTTATGAAAGTAAAACTTTAATCGAACATGTACTAACATGATAACGGAGAGAAAAAAATAAGCTTCATGGTCTGTGAAATCGGAATGCCGCACAGTGAAAAGTGAAAGGCAATTATAGGCATTTCTCAAGTAAGAGAGTTTTCCACTGTTTATCAAATCTAAAAGTTTCTCATTGTTTTCCGGAATAATGAATTGTTCCTCATCTAAAGAGTTGAATCCTTCGAATGTGACTTACAAACAGAGGACAGCCAAATCGATGATAAAATACATATCAAAAGTGAGCCAAGCTGTAGACGAGAATCCACGCCAACTGAATAGGAAAAAAGAGGGTTTAATTAAGCTATAAACATAGGAAAGCTCCTTCTGCAAATATTATGCTATACTGGCATTTGAACACGAAAGAAATAACAAAAATTTAATTGAGTACCAGAAAGAGAGTTATTGAAGCAAAAAGCCCTTCTTGTAGAAGGGCTGCATGGCCACCAAATTCTTCCTCGTCAATCTTTAGTATCATTGCATAATAACCATATATGATGCCAGTGGATATGGCCAGAAATCTGCAAGCAAATAACAACAAATATTTAACTAAAAGTTCAGAAAATAATAAGAATATATAAAAAAGGCAGGACAATGATGGTGCCAAGGTCAAATACTACTATTATTTGCTTATTGAACAAACACTAAGTGGATATCAGGACATTCAAGATAACTGAAGTTGGCAGCATAAACCCCTTGACATGATATGCATAAACCTCTTGATATGATATGCAGAAACCTCAAAAACTTGCATTTAATTTTAAAAATTGTTGGCACGTGAAGACTACACCATATTCCTTTCAAAGATTCAACGAAATGGGATGGTGACATGCAAGTCTGATTCTCAACAAATGCAAGTGTAAACATCATGTAATTTAACTTGTCAATTTCAAAACATCAATGACAGATACTGCATTCAAAATTGTTAATATCTCCGAGGAAATATACATTGAAGTTAGCAAATTGCGCCATCATAGAGATTAGCTGTTCCAGATATCTACTAAAACACGTTACACGTTTGCCAATGCTAAGATTTATTAGTGACTAGTCCACAGACAATCTAAGATTTTTCCAAACTTTAATCACCATAAATCAAGAGAGCTAGTTCCGGCCAATTGCACCAGTGTAAATTCCAAAAGCCCAACACACAAGGCTCCTGATATATGCAGGGTCATACCAAGTGCACACCTATCATCACAACAAAGCATCTACATAACTAGTGAGACTCACCAAACTTGGGACAGATTCAACCCATCCGATACAAATCAGAAAGCATTGCAATTTACTAATGTAGGCAACATGAATCTGAGAACTTACATGAAGATCCAAATGCCTCCAACCACTGGGATTGCTCCCCATAATAAACCACAGAAAAGAGCTACAACTTGTCGAATCCAATGCAATGCATCTCCTAATTGATCCTGCTTCAACAATGAACCAAAAATCTTTATAATTTTCGTTTTCCACAACTTACCCAATTCAAGTTCATTCATGATAATCCAATTACCCCCCCCCCAAATTTAACATGAAAAAAGAAACCCATTAAATTGAACTACTTCCAGAACTAAATAAGCACAATTAAGAGCATAATTGAAGTAAAAATGACTGTGATTGCAGTTGACCATTAGTTTATGTGACTCTAATTAATAGTAAAGCCTTCAAATAAACAAAATTAACGAATAAAAAGAAAAGCAGATTATTAACCTTGTCCCAAGAAGCTTCTGGATCTAATAACTTGGCGAATTTGAACGGAGAGAAATGACCGTTTTCGTGTTGTTGATGCTTCTGTGCATTCAATTTACCTGATTTCGCTTCTTTCATAGTCAATTTTTTCTTCAAAAAAGTTACAAATATAATATAAGTAAAACAAAGAATTCAGTATAAAATAAGAACTCGGATTTAGATTAATTTGAGGTTAGAATTGAATTAGGGTATCGGATGTGGAGAATATTAAAACTTTTTGAAATCCTTCGATGTCGATCTGAAAGGCAATGGATGGCCAGATGGGATGTCGTGAAGAAGAAAGACTGAAAGAGAATATTACTTTATGTTATTTCTTAAGTTTCATACAATATTTTATTTCTTATTAGTGCTCGGCACGTGATGCAATTTTCATCTCTTTTATTGGGTAAAGTACATATATATTCACTAAATTATAGGATATTTATTTTTTGATTCTCTTGACTATTAAAAATTATAAAATAGTCCTATTATTATAGGGCGACGTTTTATTGAGTTCTCGACTATTAAAAGTTAAAAAATTATCACTCAACTATTCATTTATTCTAAACTTATCATTATTCATTAAAAATTTAATGATCGTTTGAGTTGGACGTTAATATGTTGATTGAGATATGATAAAATATGATTTTGTAATTGTTAGAGCTATATTTTGTGGTTTGACTTTCCGTTTAAATTCTACCATCGAGTCAATGCATGAAACATTATGTTTTTGAGCTAGTGCTTGAAAGCAACATCGGCACTAGTAAACATCATTAAAATATGATTTTATCATATCAAAGTCAACAAGTTAACGTCCAATTCAAATAACTCTCAAATTTTTAACGGAAAATGACGAGTTTTAAACGTATGAATATTAGGATGACCATTTTAAAGTTTTAATAGGTGGGGGACTTAACAAAAAAATATCCTATAACCTTTTGACAATTTTATAAATTTTAATAGTCGATGGACTCAATAAAATAATATCTTATAGTTGGGGATCATTTGTGTACTTTACCCTTTTTCCTACTTGGGATTATGTGTAATTAATCAATCATAATTACAAATGATACAACAGAGTAAAAGGAAACCAATAATTATATGGTTAATGGTTACAATTAAATTAATAATTAACATTTATTTAAATAATATAGTAATATTTAATTAGAATAAATTTTAGAAACAATCAATATATGATATAAATGAGAATAAAAATACACAACTAATTTTTACTTAGAATGTGTATTTAAATTATATAAAATAATATTAAATCAAACTTGTTTCAACTAAAATATAATAATTAATTTTATGTACAATTGAACCAAATGAATAATTTGTTCACTTTTTAGTTAGTGTAGAATTTTTTTAATAATACGAGTGATTATAAGATAGTGTATATTAAGAAAATTGATAAACTATGTGAATAGTTCCCTTTGTTTTTGGTTTTGAACGTGTCGTTGGTTTAAAATTTAAATGTATTTAGTCTCTTACGTTATTGATCTGTTCAGTTTAAGTTCCTCAACTAGTAACTCTCGTTAACCCTCTAATAGAAATATTACATGACAATTACAAATTAAAGAAAATTCACATATTGTTGTGTTCGTCTTCTTCGTCACACCTTTAACCGGGGCTCTCCGTATAAAGCAATCAAAGAAATTCTCAACACATTGGCTGCTTCCATTTGCTTGGGTTTCTTCAGGAATCGTATCTGCATTAAAATGTGTGTTGGCAAATTGAATTCTTAAGGGAAAAAAACAATGAAGGTGAAAGCGGTGACAATTATCGGCAGAATATTAAAATCAAGGGCTGAAGCTCTTCCAATTCTTTCAGTCGGTTCTCCGCAAGTAAAGGGAATTTGGGACTTGATTCGATCTAAAGGGCAAAATATTTCATGGCATAAAATAATTTGGTTCCCATTGCATATTCCAAAGTTTAGTTTGATAGCTTGGATAGCTTTACTGAACAAATTGACAACTAGAGACAAGCTTCTTCAAATGGGAATTAGTACTGACGGTATTTGTGTTAATTGCAGCAACTCAAACGAGACAAGGGACCATCTTTTTTCGCACTGTTCACTAGCAACAGATCTCTGGAACTCAATTCTGAATCTTAATGGGATGAAGACTACTTATTTATCATGGGAAGATATGGTTTTGAAGGCATGTTCATCATGGAAAGGGAGGTCTCTTCTTACTACCATTCTTAAACTCTCTTGGACTGCTTTTATATACTCTTTGTGGCAGGAAAGAAATCAGAGAATATTTCAAGGACTACGTAGAACGATTGAATGCTTGCTCAAAGATGTTAAAGACGTTGTCGGAATCCGCCTCAGGAGAACTAATATTAATAGACTTGATAGTATGAACTTAAGGCTTTGTAAGGTTTGAGATATAGTCTAACCAATCATTTTGTAAGCTGTTTATTTGATTCTTTCGTTGTAGATTGGTGGATTGGTTGTATTTAAACCTTGAGTTGGGTAATAAAATCATAATTATCCAAAAAAAAAATCCGGAATAAGAGTGGAGAATGGAGGCAATCTCACTGCACCCACACTTAGGAGCGGATGTACTAAACCTCTTAGGGGTCAAGTCCATTCATATTATTTAGGAAAAAAGTAAAATTTAATATAATATATTAAAAAATAGAAAAAATAAAAATTTTGCACATATTATTTTTAATAAAAGAAAAATAAAATTTTGAACATTATTATTAAATTTCTAGATCTATCACCGTTTACACTTGTTATGAAAGAAGAGATTATTAAGGTTAAAGGAGGTGTTAATTATTTTTAGGGTCGACAAGGTTACTACCATGTTATGGTATGTGTTTTTCTTTAACAAAGTATATATATATATATTAAAAAAATTAAGCCTACGAGATAGTTTCTTTTATTTTTAGTCGATCGACTTTGATCATCAATTCAAAAATTAAACCCATTTAATCTCTTAAAATTAAAAAAAAAATCATGTCTCTCCTTACGGTTTCTTTATCTACAAAGTCATCGTTATGGTAGAACTCCCTTCTCCTTAAGCACCGCGTTTCTTTACTACACAGAAGAATATGTCTTTAACAAATTCTCAAAACTAGCTTTTAAAAGATGAGTGTTAGAAATGTTAGAAATAATCTTCTGTTATTCGATCCAGAAGTTTTTTCTTCAGGCATCTCTCCATGGCTCCGCATGTGGTACAGGAAAACCTACGAGATAAGGACTTTCCCCAACAGCCTAAACTCTGTTAAAAAATATAGTGAATTTAATTGATGGATTTAATATTTATATTAAATTTGTATTCTTTTTTATTATTACAAATTAGTGGGATAATTACTTTTTTAAAAAGTCAATTAAAAAAAGTAAATGTTATCTTTTTAATTTTGAATATTAAAAGATAATTATATATTTTTGCATATTTTAAATTAAAATAATATATGTTTAAGTTTGAATAATAAAAGGAGTTTAACTTTTAAGTATTGCAAATTAAATATATTATTTAATTTGAATATTAATAAGATAATTACTCTTTGAACATATCAACTTAAAAAGATATTTGTTATCTTTTTAACTTTGAATATCAAAGATAATTATATAATTTTGTATATTTCAAATTAAAATAATATATATTGAAATTTGAATGGTAAAATGAGTTGTATCTTTTGAATATTTCAAATTAAAAGATATTGTTATTTGTTTAATGTTGAATATTAGAAAATATTTAGTTGGATTAAATCTCTCTTGAAAATCTCCTATAAATAATGAGCAAACATGTTAGGTATTTCACATCTCAAATTCAGATTTTGAAGAACTTCTCTTATCTTGAAAAGTTATCTTCCTTAGTTTTTCTGGCGATAGTCGAAGGTAAGGATCGTTTGTGATATGTGCAGAAGTTTAACTTTTTTGGTTTATTTTCTCAGGATTGATTTTGTCTCAAATTAAATAACAATCTCAAGATAAGAGTAAACCCGTTCATCCTTTTTATCACTTTGTACTGTGGATATTTTATAATGATATTTATTCATGATTATTTTTCTATATATTCTCAAATTAATGCGTGCGTGTTTTCTCTAACAAACTCATATCTTATTCAAGTTTGAAATAATCTTCTGGAGGTATCTCTCCATGACTCCTCAAGCTCTAATGTTCTTCTGAGGAATCGTCAATTTTCGCAGGCAAATGGCATTTTGTAGTTTGAGATTAGAAAAATAATGAAAAAAAAGGAAAGAAAATGGACAAATAGAAAGAGATGCACGTGGGGTTGCATGCAGTTTACCACATTGCTCTCACCATTCACTTTCCTTCTTCTTACCTCTTCTCCTCATTAACTTTCTCTTTGTCTGCAAGTAAATGTTAATTGTTTTTCACTCCGAAAGCTTTTGAGTTTGTATTCGAGTTGATTCTCTGCGAGTTAAGTCTATCTTCATGTTATTCACTTGTTCTAACTTGCTTTGGAGGCCGTAAAAGTGTGTTTACCATTTGTTCTGAAGTTTTCAAGTATCTAGCCATTTATATTAATTCTGGAAAGAGAACTTCAATCCTACGCAAGCTTAGTTAACGCATCGACGATATGTACAATAGAGAAAGGAATGAAGGGTGAGACTTGAGAGTACTATTGTAAGAAGACGAAGAAGAAGCGGAAGAAGGCACGTTTAACCTATTCATTATTATTTTTCTATATCAGTTAACCTATTTTTCGTTAATAGGTTAATTGATATTATCGATTACGGGATTTAAATCGAACGGACCAATAACGTAAGACATCAAAAGCATTTAATTTTTTAATCGGTTATCAAGCCGATCAAATCGAAAACAAAAGTGCTATTCACATACTTTACCCATATATATATTATCAGGTTTTATAACATAACTGGGATTTTGCAATATTCTTTTACTGATTATGGATGTGCTTGGACCTAGCTTATGGGATGTTTAGAATAACAAACTACTCGAACTGAGATAAATAACTTTGGACTTGATCTTTTCTTTTTTCTAGACAACATATTTTGAGTGACTCTTTCTTGAAAGATAATGAAAGCAAGTTTAGGAATCAGAAATAGTAGCTGCGTCGGGATGAAGGAAAAAATGAATTCTCAAAGATATTATAAGACTGTTTAAGAAGAAAAAGAGAGAGAGATTGTAATAATTATGGTAGCGGTGATAAGAAAAGTGATGATATGTAGGTCGTTAATTACATCGAAGTCTTGAGGTCAAGTCCTCTTTGTCGCTTTAGGGGCGGTGGGTTTTTTGAATTGGAAAACAGAATCGAAGAATTTTTCCGATGCTAGGAGCTTCGTTTCGGCTGC